TTTTTTTTTTTTTTTTTTTTTTTTAATTGTGGGCCGATGGACCACGGATCAGATATTAAACTGATCAGAATAGATACTACACTTGATCTTAGCCAAAAGGCCGAGAAAGGTATAGTCATGTGGTCGTACGGTATCAACTAAGGGCCAGATCCCACTGGCAAGGACGATTGGAATGAGTGTCTGAATCTGGACGTGTTCCACGCAGAGATGCAGAAAAGCAGATCAGTCACAATTTTTTGCACCTCGCAACAAAACACGTCCAGATTCAGACACTCATTCCAATCCTCTTTGCCAGTGGGATCTGGGCTCACATACAAACTACTTAGGGGAGAAAAACAGTGTATCGGTTGGGCAAGGATCTCAAGTGCCCAGAAGCGGGTACACACCACCCGTGGAAAAAAAAAAAGGAAAAAAAAAGTGTTCCACCATCCTATCCTGCCATCGTACTACACACTGGGCCTCGCTTCAGTACTATCTCGAGTCAGCAATTATCCAGAGAGGAGGGTCGCTCGACTTACTCTGGACCCGTCTACCCTCGAAAATCGGTCGAGAGGGCCATCGAGAGGGCCGGGCGAGTGAATCGAGAGGGGGCCTCCGGGAAATCGATCCCGGAAAAAAATTGGTCAGAATGTTCCCCCTGGGAAATCGAACCCCTTAAAAAATCGATCGAAAGGGTCATCGAGAGGGCCCGGCGAGAGGACTCCCCCCCGGAAATCGATTTCGATTTCCAGGGGGAAGTACTCTACTCTGACAAATCGCCGGGGGGGAGTACTCTCGATCGATTTCCGGGATCGATCGAGACTCTGACAAATCGCCGGGGGGGAGTTACTCTCGATCGATTTCCGGGATGGATCGAGGGGGCCATCGAGAGGGCCCGGCGGGGGGAGTACTCTACTCTGACCAAATCGCCGGGGGGGAGTACTCTCGATCGACTTTCCGGGATGGATTTCCGGGGGGGGGGTACTCTCACCAAATCGATCGAGAGGGCCCGGCGATTTGGTCAGACTCAGAGTACTCGACCCCGGAAATCCATCCCGGAAAATCGATCGAGAGTGCATCGAGAGGGCCATCTAGAGGGCAATCGAGAGGGCCCAGGGAGTGCATCGAGAGGGCCCGGCGGTAGGACTCTCGATTTGTTGTTGAGAGTGCTCCCCCTCGAGAGGGGGCTCTCGATGTGGCCAGAATGGTCCCCCCCCCCGGGAAACCGAACCCCGAAATCGATCGAGAGTGCATCGAGAGGACCAACGAGAGTGCCCGGCGAGAGGACTCTCGATTTGTTCAGAGTGCTCCCCCCCGTGAGAGGGCTCTCGATTTGTTTTGAGTGCTCTCCCCCCCCCCCCCCTCCCCCCCGAGAGAGGGCTCTCGATTTGTTGAGAGTGCTTCCCCCCCCGAAATCGACCCCGAGCTCGATTTATCGAGATTGCTCCCCCCACGAAATCGATCCCCGGAAGAAGATCGATCGAGAGTGAATCGAGAGGACCCGGCGAGTGCATCGAGAGGCCCGCAAGAGGACTCTCCATTTGTCGAGACGAATGCTTCCCCTGCAGCACTCTCGGAAATAGGGAGTGCAATAAAAAAAAAAGAAAAAAAAAGGAAAAAAAAAAGAAAAAAGAAATAGGGAGTGCTACCAACGAGCCTACCACCCGGTAGCTCAGTTGGTACACCCACGCACTGTTGAAAAACAGACCCGAGTTCGAATCCGCATGATGGAACCAGATGAATGAAACAATTTTTCAGCGTTACATGGGGCCGGTCAGCTCAATGACGATATCTCAAGGCCGTCGCCTTTTAAAAAAAAAAAATAAAAAAAAATAGGGAGTGCTCTCTGGGACCCTCGTCTCCCGACGTCAAATAGAGACATGGGGCCGGTCAGCTCAATGACGATATCTCAAGGCCGTCGCCTTTTAAAATTTAAAAATTAAAAAAACTAGGGAGTGCTCTCTGGGAC